ATGCAAGTTTTCTGCCTTTTTACAGGGTGCAGTCTGGCCACTTTTCTATGGCCCATTTTGTGAAAAATATTTGTGTTTTCCTGCTCCAAGGGGTTTCCATCTTTCAGAGATTATGGCTTTTGAAGGTTTTAATGTAGCTTTTTCTAGGATGTGCCATTGCGATACATTGAAGGTTTTTTCTTTCCCTTATATTAAAATGTATTTTTATTCCTTTTTTAACTTTAATGAGACAAATATTTTAATGCTAATATAACAACCAAAAAACGTATTCTGTTGCTTGTTTTCCTCTGTGTCTGAAAGATGGTCACAGAAGATGATAGTGCCAGCTCAGGACACCTAAAACCTTTAATCCAGGTCTGGATTATTTTACACCACCACCACCCCTCTTTTTTTTTTTCATTTGAAGCAATTCTCTCCCCACATCCACCCACCCTTCCAAGTGCTTACAAAGTGAACTTGAGCATTTCCTTACTAGTGGTGGTGGTGGTGGGGTCTAGGAAATCGGTAGAATTCAACAGTCATTCCCTTTGCCCTACTACAGTGTCTTTGTCAAAGGAGAACTGTCTCCTGTCTGCATTTAATCTTCCCTGAACTGAGCTACTTAGAATTTCCCCCACTTAACTTTGTCGGGATGAAAGCCAAGGTCTGTAGAGCCAGTAGCTCTGGGTATCAGCCAGCCAGGGAGGCCAAGCTGGCCCAGGCACCCGATCATTCTGCAGACAATGTAAGCTGTGTGGTCCCAGGCAGGCCACTTTCTCTGTTCCGGTGCGGCTCACTCGTGTCCCTACTTGTCCATCTGTGGTGGAGATGGTAGGAAAGCCCTTTTATCAAGGGTTTTCTGTTTGCTTGTTTTTATGTGATTTTTAATACTTTAAATTTGGGGTTTTTTTACTTGTAAATTATAAACTTTCCCCCTAGATTCGATATCATTTCGGTGACGGGCCTATCATTTCAGCACTGATAATTCTTTGGAGCTCATTTAGACAATTCATTATACTGGAGTTTAGCAAAGAGGGCAGAATAAATCAGTCTTAAAATGCACATGTACAAGGAAAACATCTACTTCCCCACCACTTCAAATGTGCAATTCCAGCAATATGAAAGCACAATGCATCAAATACATGTTCCTCCTCCCAGGGATCGCCAAAGAACAAACACTAGGATTTGTGGTTACTGTTGGTTAATCCTTCCTCATCTGGACAGCAGGGATGCTATTAATGATGGAGGGGGGTGGGGGGTTGTTTTTTTAATGATTGTACAGGGAAAGGGATGGGAAATGTAAGCAAATAACTATCGTTCAATGGATGTGCTGAGGGGTAGATATGTAGAGAAAAACCAAAAAAACCTAACTCACTGGTATGGAGTCAATGCTGACTCCTAACGACCTCCTTCGGAGTTTCTGAGACTGAACTGCCTGCTGTTGGCTTGAACTGCCGGCCCTGAGGATCACAGCCCAACACATAGCTGCTAGACCAGATAATATAGAGAGGGAAGGAGAGAGAAAGAAAAGATTAAAGGAGATAAAGCTTCCTTTCATCTGTAGATACCAGTTGTTCCAAGAGGTAGGTACTTTAAATTTTTTACTTAGCTGATTTTTAACTTAGACCAGGAGGAAGTGTCCAGCTTCAAGGCTACTCTTTTGTTAAACGTTTATAAAGCGCTCAGCTTCTTTTAACCTTACGTTTTTTCGATTGTTAACAAAGTGTCCCGTAGGAGAAAAAGTCAAGCCCTCAAGCTATTCGTGACCAAATAACCTTGCTGAAGTTGGAAGCGGACCTCTCTCACCTCTCGCAGCAGTCCAGACTTGGAGCGCCTGTGAGCCTCAGCGTGAGAACGCAGTCACCTGACTGCCAGGGAGAGCAGCCAATCAGGAGAGGGAGTTGCCGCCACACCCACCTGCCCACCCCTTGCACTAGGAGCAGAGCCAGCCAGTCTGCTTTTCTACTAGGCTAAATGGTATGAGTTAATTCTTCCTGGAAATAGCTAACGCTAACGGATATGCTCAGTAACGGCACAAGCCATTCCAAAGCCAGGTTCGCGTTAAAAAAAAAAAAAAGTCACTCCAGTGTAGTGCCTTTTGGTTTACTTTGTTATATATTAACCTGGAAAATAATTTAAATATATATATATATGCCTCCTATTTCCTTTCAGCAAATATATAACATCTTGCAGTTCTCTGAAAGGCACAGAGAGACGGAGATTGCTCGGCAGTCTTCTCACTGCCATTGAGTAGATTCCGACCCACACTTGAGCTACCCGGTAGAGTTCTGAGGCTGTAGCTCCTTCTGAGAACAGAAAGCCCCCCGCTTTCTCCTGGGTGGCAGCTGGTGGGGTTGAACTTGTGGCTAGTCGTCCAACGCACAACTAGCACATGACATTTGTGTATTTAAAGGGTTTGCTTGAGAACATGAGTACTCCATATAAAATGAGTGTGTCATGTGTAACTTGAGCATATTCAATACAACTGTACGTCAGTCGTTAAGTTAGAATTTACTATAAGAAGTTTTTGAAAAATTGCTTCACCACAGGTACTCATCCTCTGCAGGGTCTGCTCTCTTCTGCCATTTCTGAAGTTTGTCAGAGGGGGGTGATGGTTCACAAGTCTCAGGATTCCTCTACATACCTTGTAGGACTGAATGAGGTGCACAATACATTGCGTGATAATTGCAGGATAAGGCAATCTATTATGTTGTGGAATTTAATAAATCAACTTAAAAAAGAAATCAACTTTGAAAAAGAAAAACGAACTCCGTTCTACAGAATAGCAAGCTGCCTCATGTGCACGGCAAAGCTGAACAACCAGAAAGGAAGATGGAGGAAGAATTGATACCTTCAGGTTATGTTGGCAATGAATCTTAAATGCCCCATGGATTGCCAGACGAACAAAAACGCCTCTCTTGATAAAGTACAGCTAGACATCTCCTTAGAAACAAGGATGGTGAGACTTCATCTTTCACACTCCAGACGTGTTTATTAGAAAGGATCGGAAAGGATTAGAAGGTGGGCCATCATGCTTGCTAAAGCAGAGAGTCAGTCAAAATTAAGAAGATCTTCAGCGAGCTAGATCGACACAGTGGCTGCAGGGATGGGCTCAAACTTGAGATCGTGAAGCAGGGGCAGGACCCTGAAGGGCTCCATCCTTCTCTGTATGTGGGGTCTTTCTGGGTGGCACCTCACAACAACCAAGTAGCAACAACCAAGTTCTGTTTTATTTCAGAAGAAACACTTAAAATGCGAACCTAATTCAAGTTGTAGGACCTTCCATTCTGTTCAGCTACAAATGTAGATCCCATCCAATTTCTCAGCTGGGTCATCAAGTGAGGAATCGAGTAGATTGTCTTTCCTGACGAATGCAAACCCTTTACATTTAGAAGGATAACTGAAAGTATTCCGAGCCTGTAGGCAGAAAAGCCTGATGTTCAATATGGTCTCTTTGTGAGATGGTGGAAGACTTCGTGGATTGGTGGTGGACATATGGGATAATGTCGGACTTGTGAGCTTGGGCAGCTCTGGGTAGGGATGCTTTCTTGATGTGCACTTAACATTTATGTTAAACTCTTTTTTATATAAAAAATGGTCTTACTGATTATTTTCCATGCACACTTCCATACATTTAAAAACATTTTCTGCATTGTTATTGTTGTTGTTAGGTGTTCTTGAATTGACTCTGACTCACAGCAACTTTGTGGGCAACAGAATGAAACACTGCCCAGGCCTGTGCCATCCACACCCTTGTTGCTTTGTTAGAGCTCCTTGTACAGCCACTGTGTCCATTTGTCTAATTGAGGTGGTTCTTTTTTTTTTTTCAATGACCCTCGGCTTTACCGATTATGTCCTTTCCCAGTGAACTGGTAACATGTCCAAACTACTTGAGACCAAGTCTCGCCATCTTTGTTTTCCAGGAACATTCTTACTGTACCTCCTTTTCCAAGATACTTGTCCTTTTTTCAAAAAAAGCCTTACTGGGCTGTCATGTACCTACCATATAGCTCACCGGTTTAATTCATATGATGGATTGGTTTTTAGTATGTTTATGGTGCTCTGTAAACATGACTATAATCTAATTTTAGAACATGTTCTTCTTCCCAGCTCTCTTGTGCTCAGTAGCCTTCATGTCCCGTTTCTCCCCTAACCGTCTTCCTCAATCCAGTCAGTTCTGACTTACAACATGAGCCCTAGAGAGGAGACCTGCCCCCTGTGGGGTTCTGAAACTGCAACTCTCTACTGGAGTAGAAAGCCCCATCTTTCCCCTGGTGAGGGGCTGGTGGTTTCCAACTGCTAGCCTGGAGGTCAGCAGCCCAATATGGCATCACCATGGCACCTGGGCTCTTTCTCGCAACCCCAGGAAACCACTACTCTATTTTCTATCTCAAGAGATGGGTCTACTTTGGGAATTTCATACAAATGGAATCATACAATTTCATGACCACGTCTTTCTCCTAGCCCAACTCTAGAAACTTCCATTTGACCTCAGTCAATGAAGATAAGATACTATCCTTGCATTCTGGATGAGTTTGAAAATTGGGTATAATTGGTTTGAGGCAAAACTGATAAACTGGTTAGAACCAGTAGGCTTTATCCATAAACTAACCTAACTTGCCAATGTTAAGGACCCCACACAACCTAAGAAGAAATGCCTGTTCATCTGCCCCTAGATGACACGGTGTCGCCCCAGAATTCAGAAAGAATACCATGGAATTAATGACACACGTTGTTTAAAAGTTTAACTTCCCCTCTTTGGAAAACCAGTGATGGCTTGTCCGTACGGGACCCTGGAGGAAAAATCAAATAGGAACCTCAACGGAAAAAAAATTCCCTTCTGCCCTTTCCCCCTCTTCTTGCTGGCGGGCAGAGTGCGCATTACAGTTTGCAGATATATTTGGAAGTGGATTTAGGGCCCTCCCCCCAACTTATGATTTTATAGCCAATAGGTGATGAGGTTTATTTGCATATTTCCAGTCACTTAAGCAGCCCCGGAGTGAAGACAGTGTCACACTCAATTCCTCCTCCTCCTGCGCAGAGGAGATCTGCCCCTTCGATCCAGCTGCCCAGCCCGTCCGTTGAAAGGGAGGCTTGCCCGCGCCAGCTGGAGACTCCAGGCCCTCTCCCGCCTCCCATCCGCCCAGTTCCTCGGTCCGACCTTCCGACCCTCCGTGCGTCAGTCGGTCCGCGCGCTCGCGGGCGGAGTGCAGCCGCTACAGAGGGACGCTCCCGGAGATGAAGAGCAAAGCACTGCTCCTGGTGGCCCTGGGAGTGTGGCTCCAGAGTCTGACCGCCTCCCGCGGAGGGGTGGCCGCCGCCGGGGGTAAGTTCGCGCGCGGCTCCGCTCCACCTGCAGCCCCTGCCGCGGCCACTGCGCGCGCTCGGAGCCCGGCGCGCGGAAGTTGGAAGGGGCACAGGCTGGACACAGAGCTCTCCCCACCCCAGCACTGGCCCTCGAGGTGTGCGGACGGCGGGGTGGGGGTGGGGGGCGGGCGGGGTGGGGACACCGGGTGGGACCCGGAGGGGTAGAGGGGGCATTTCGCGGGCGGCTCTCAGTTCCCGCTTTCCCTCTCCCCTGGGTTCCCGCGCTGTCCCTGCCAGTCAAGGGACAGGAGCCACCGCGTTCCCAAGCGCGCGCGCAGAGCCCCGGAGAGTCTGGGGAGTGTGAGAGGCGGGACCAGGGAAGGGGAGGCCCTGATGGGGTGATCCGCAATTACTTTCTCGCTCTGGGGGCTTTGGAATGAAAGGAACGCGGCCCAAGGTGACCCTGGGTTGGCAGCGACTGGGAGCGGCTCAGTGGGGCCATGGGAGCAGGGGAGCAGCAAGTGGTCCCTTCTTTGGGCCAAGCCGATCAGAGTAGAAAGGGAGGACCCCTTGTCAGTCTCTAAAGAGCCCGGGACGCCCATGCGCTCCAGGGTGCGTGAGAGGGAAGAGAACACGTGTCCTCATGTCCTGGGGACGCTGAGTCTTGCAAGCTTTAGGACGCCTGGGAAGCTCTCCAGCTTCCTTGCACCCACGCTTGATGTAGTGCCCAGCAAAGGCTAGAGCAGCGCTGACCCTCCTGAAAGCGAGGGGCGCGGGTCTGCACTGGGGGTCTCTTTCTGTCCAAGCGGAATTCAACTCCAGGCGCCCAATGTAGCGAGGTGGCTGCGAACTCCTGGGTTTTCAGGCCAAGGCTGGCAGGCCTGGCTTCCAGTGAGACCCCCTTCCCACCCCACCCCACCCTGCTCTGCTCACCAAAGCTCCTTACCCAATTGCAGCCTCTCAAAAGTTAAGGCACTTTCAGGGAGATGGGCATTCTTCAATGTAAGGCAGTGTCCCACCTGACAACCTAGCCCACAATAGAGACAGGCAGAGTGGGTACCTTGAACCCTGGTTCATCTGGAATACAGCAACAACCGAAACAAGTAATTAAAGAGGCAACATTTCCCTTTTTTAACCTTGTTGGTGGTGTCCCCTGGAGGGGTATTCAGGGGGCACATTCGCAGAGGATCAAGTAAAACTCCCACCACTCTGCAGGGGGGTTTCTTTTAGCCCTTAGATGGGAAGTACGAGTGTTAGGTTTGTCTTTTAAGAAGTTTTCATGAAAGTTAAACTTTGGCGGAAAGAGTTACAATTTCTTTCTGGCAGTTCGGTTTGAGAACACAGGCCATTCAGTGAGAAACATCGTGGGTGGTGGTAGAAGGAATTCACCCTAAATTCTCATTTCAAAACGTATACTGCAGTGTAAAAGGAACGCCAGTGGCGTAGTGGACACGCCTTGGGCTGCGATCTTCATGCTCGGTAGTTCAAAAGCACCAGCAACTCAGGAGAAAGACTGGGCTCTCTACTCCCTTCAAGTCCTCTGAGAACCCACAGGGGGATCACTAGGAGTCAGCCTTCACTCAATAGTGGTTACTGGTATTTGTTTTACCACAGTGGACATTACTTTTACTAGAAAACACACAAATAATGTATCATCTACATTTTGTTTTACCATCCTGCATCAGAGGTTAGGGTTCCCACTCAGAGTGAGCACACGTGGGACAGACTAGAACTGCCCCTTTAGGGTTCTAGGACTTTAAATCTTTACAGGAGTAGACAGCCTTGGCTTTCTCCTTCTGAGCACAGGTGGGTTTAGAACAGCTGACTCTGCAGTTCACAGTTTAATGCATAGCCCACTGAGCCACCAGGGCTCAGAATTGACTCAGGGCCCCTGAGTTTGGTTTAAGTGCATTATCGGTTCATGATCCTATATTGTTGCCTGCCATATTTACCCTCCTCGCCCTGTCCGGTGAGGTGCATGAACTGGATCGGAAGGCCCCTGAGACCCCTCTAATGTTTAATCTTTGGTTCAAAATTTAATGAATTAATCAAATTGAGTTTTAGCTAGCATGTGCGTTCCCTGGCTGAACATGTATTAGGGAAGGCTTCCCTTGTAAGGAGATTGGCCCTCACTTCCCTCTCCCCTTTCTAGCTGCCTCTCCCATTACAGAGGCTCCATTCCCCTTTGCTCCTCTAAATGAGTTCACCTAGGAAAGGAAGAATTTCAGTGAGAAAGGCACATGCATGGGTCAAAAATAGATACCACTTCCTCTGGGCTCTTAGTTTATGTATTCATTTTCTATTTTCTTTCCAAGAAAAATATGAGGATATGGGGCCCTGCCCTCGGGGCTCTTTGCTCAAGAGCCACCACACTATCTCGGCAGGGTTCCAGTGAGGAAGAGCCAAAAGCGGGCCTGGGAGCCAAAGGGTCAGTGTGCAGTGGCAGCAGTTCTCTGGGAGAGGCCACAGTCCATTTCCAGGGCAACATCACAGTGAAGAATGATGAGTGATGAGAGCGAAATAGCAGATGTCACTTTCTAACAGAGCTCAGGAAGGGAGTGATGGATTAATAACTGTACTGAAAGGTAGGAGTCAGGTACGGGGGAAGAGTCGCCATGGAAAATGTTCACTTTCTATCAAACTATATTTTTAGCTCTCATTTTGACTTTGTTCCTGAGGAGAAATAGAGTTATTCAGTTGACTCACTTGAGAGGGCCTGACACACACCGCTTGGCTGTCCGTCCCTTCTCTACCACCTGCTCCTACATTCTTGTTGCAAAATCTGCATTGCATCGCAGTAAAAACGAAGGTGTTCTTGCTGTCAGGATATGGTGGATGAGGACTTTGAACCACAGAGCGTACGAAATGTACTCAAGACATGAGTAGCATATTTCAGATCTACGTAGAGATACCAGGACTGAGTTTACAGTAATGTCTTTTTCAACTTTTTTTTTTTTTTTGCAGAAAAAAATGTTTACTTGTGTTTTATTGACTATGTAAAGACATTTAACCGTTTACGTAATAACAAACTCTGGATAACATCTTGAAAAATGAGTATCCCAGAACACCGACTTATGTTCATGGGAAACCTGTGAGCAAAAAGGTGGATGTGATTGGTTGTTTGTTTGTTTGTGGCAGCCGATAATCCACTCATTGTGGGCGTAGCTGGAGGACCATGAACCCTGGAATCACTGTGTTTAAATGCTGCCAACCCAGAGGTTGGTGGTTCATACCCACTTAGCTACTCAGTGAGTCTTTCTCTCAGAAAGGTCACAAAGGACGTTCCTACTCTGTCGGAAAGGGTCACTAGAAGTCAGAGTCCACTTAACGGCACCTAACAGCAACTTGTATGAACGATGACCTTGCTGTCATCAGAGACACTTGAACCTAGGAAAGAATCTGTGTCACAAGTCTTTAATCATATTTCCTCTTTAAAAAGCCGAAGACTGGTCACTTCTAAAGGTACAGTATGGTTGGGTTCCAACTTACTCAGAGGCAGAGACTGATATTATTCCAAACATTGTTCCCTTGACTCTAGAGTTGAACATTAGGGGTTTTTTGGGCCATCTTAAGAATGTTTGAGTGCAATCCCATCATTTAGCCTAGTTGCTACTAGGAAGGGAAATAAATATCTACCAGGAAAGGAGAAATGGATGTACTTGGACGTAGCTATATCTTAGTCCTGGTTGTACAGTGGATTTCTGTTAGGCTTTTTGCTCCAGAAAAATGTACAATCTCAGAAGCCCACAGGGGCAGTTCTTCTCTGTCCTGTAGGATCACAAGGAGTGTGAATTAACTTGATAACAGAGAGTTGTGTGTGTGTCCATAAATATGTATGCACACACACATATATATGTATACAATCTTGAAATCAGTTTTGTACTTTTGAGGGGAAAATGGTATTCAGAGTCACTATGGTGAAAAATAGCATGAGAGCACCGTTTTAACTTAAAACCAAACTCATTGTCACAGAGTCAATTCTGACTCAAAGCAACACTATGAGTCAGAATTCTTATTCTTATCACAAAAGTTGCATTCCATTGCATTTAAAAAATGAGATATTTTTGCAGACCATTTTAAGTCACAGACCAAACAGAATCCCCATCTTTATTCATCTTTCCCACAAATAAAAGACTTGTCAGCAAGACCAGCATTGACTGTCATGGTATCAGTTTGAGCCTTGATCTAATTCAACTGGGCACTTTTAACATCTCCCAATCTTTTATTTAACCCTTTTCAGGAGGGTGGAAACCCAGCCTTACTATTCAACAGCATTAAGCATAAAGTTAATTTGGGTGATAAGTACAGTGATTATTTTATATTCAATTAATCAGCCAAGTATTTTTTCTTAAGCCAAAAAAAAAAAAAGGTTAAATTTGTTTAAGTACTTCGAGAGTACTAATCCCCTGACTGCATTTCAGTCAGGTAACCTATTCCTCACTTATGGTCGACTTCATTATCCAGCATTTCACATTGACAGCAAAAATTTTAAAAATCTTCTATCTGACTCTGATGTGCATTTAGGACATCTGTCCAGTGGTATTGAACACGGAGGTACTGGCTGTGATGGTTACGGTCTTGCGTCAAATTGGCGGGATCATGATTCTCAGTAGTTTGTCAGTTATGTAATGATGTGATTTAGCAGTTGTGCAATGGTCTCACCAGCCTCCATTTGACAATCTGACGTGGATGATCACACCAATTTTCACCTAATGACCTCAAAGAGTGCATTCATTTTTATTTTTTTTTAACCTCACCAAACTGACCTGGTAAGCAATTTGACTGGGTGTTTTTGTTTTGTTTTGCATCTTACCGGCACTGCCTGGGGTCCCCTAGTGGTTAGGCATAGGACTACAAACCACACTGTCAGTGATCTGGGATCACCAGCCACTCTTTAAGAGAAGGTGAAGCTCTCCACTCTAGAGAGAAATACAGTCTCAGAAACCCACAGGGGCAGTTCTACCCTGAACTGTAGGGTCATTATGAGTCTGGATCAACTCAAGGGCAGTGATTTTGTATGTTGTTGGGGTTTTTTTTAGTGTATGGCTCCTATCCATAACTCATTGTTGATTCCAACTATGAGTTGATCCCCTTTAGGAACAAGGAGACCTGCCCAAAGGGTTTCTGAGACCACAGATCTTTATTGGAGCAGACTGCCTCCCTCTTCTCCCTGGGAGAAGCTGATGGCTTTGCAGTTAGCAGGCCAACACCTAACCCACAGCACCACCAGGACTCCATACATATAATTTGATCTGGGCTCTATGAGTTAAAGAGACCTTTTTTTTTTTTTTTCATGGAAGTATACAAAACAAGCCTTAGTAATTTCAAAGGATATTCTTTGAAACTGATTTCAAAGTAATTTCGAAACCACCTGCAATACTCGTGCTACCACACTGCATAATTCTAGAGGCAACATGAATGGGGACCATTTGCGGATCTGCAGTATAATTGTCCTAAATATTAGTTGGGCAGATAGGTTGTGGGTTAAATCTATTTGCTGGCTTTTCAGATTATTTCTGCTTTAAACAGACTGGTAATTGAACATGTTAAAATAAGGTTCTGAGGGAGGAGATGTGAGTTATTTGAGGTTGGGAGGTGTGGGAGAGGGTGAAACGAATTTAGTTATAACCTTTCTCTACCACTTTCTTAAGGATCTCTAGTGTCGGAGTGGGGCATGCATTTGGCTGCTCATCACAAGGGCAGCCTTTTGAAACCACTAGCCGCTCAATGGGATAAGAGGCTTCCTATTGCCGCTGTGAGAAGTTCACCTCAGAAACAAACCCACAGGGACGATCTACCCCATCTCAGCGGCATTGCGGGGAGGAAGACTTGACTCAGTGGTCGCGAGCCTAGAGTTTGGCGCGTTCCGTCTGTTTTGTGCCCTGTGGCCCTGCAGAAAGAAAAAGGGTCTTTGTGTTCAATAGTTTTGCACAGGCACTTTCTTGAATAAATGATCTTAGAATGTTTAGCTATTGTAACAAAATTTACGTAATACTAGACCCTGTCACTACCGATTGTGTCCTACATTTTAGGTCCTGGGGGTTGTCGTTGTTGTTATTTGCTTTTATGTGAAAGATTATAATGACGTAAAAGAGAAAAGGAATGTTTGGAGAGGGAGAATTCACCATAACTTGTACACAGCCCCCAAATCCACTGTCAGCAAGCCAGTTATGACTCACAGTGACCCTGGATAAGGTTTCTGAGGCTGGTCGATCTTTACCAGAGGACATAGCCTCACCTTTCTCCCCTGGAGTGGCTGGTGGGTTTAAACCACTGACCTTGTAGTAAGCATCCTGATGTTTATCTCACAGCGCCACCAGGACCTGAAAAAGAAAGAAAGAAAGAAAACACATTCATTGCCATCGAGTTGATCTGACTCATAACAATTCCATAGTCAGAGTGGCACTGCCCGTCTGGATTTCTCAGACCTTAGATCTTTACAGGAGTAGACAGTCTCTGTTTTTTTTCCCTCAGAGCCACATTGGGTGTTTGAACCACTGACCTTGTTGTTAGCAGCTCAAATTTTAGCCCACTATTCTACCAGGGCTTCTTTGCTATCAGGGCTGGTATTTCTAAATCATTTTTTGAAATATCATTTAAATCTGATACATCCTGTCATGGAGTGAGAATTCCATAGAATCATCTCATACTTCTAACTTTTCTTTATGCGAATGTTTTTCTTTACAAACATGAAAAGGAAACCGCTTTCCCCTAAACAAGTCTAATTGGATAATACTAGTATTGTGAGAACACATTCCTTCTGATATACTTAGAAAGCTAAGAAATGCAAAATGATAAATAAAATAAAGGCATCTAGGTAACGCAAGAGATGCGAGCCAATGTGCTCCAAGAGAAAGAACTTTGAACTGAAATTTGATTTCTGTTCCTCACATTCTTTCCCACTATTAGCAACAGAACCTGGGTCCAAGTCACTTAAACATATGCCTTGAGCTAAAGTTGAGTTGGAAAAAAAAAAAAGTTGAGTTGACGCACAAATCTTCACATAGCGATTTGCATATTGAAATTGTGTGTATGTATATGCACGTAATCAAGCATGCCTCCTGAGCGAGCAGAAGAGGCTGAGAGGGACACTGGTGTTGCTTCACTTAGAGTTATCTTTCAGATCATCTCTGCCGACTCTGGTCACCATTGGCGGATCGGCTCTTCTTTGTCCATCCGCACTCATAGTTTCTTAAACTCTTCAGGAACAAAAAGAGCATTGGTAATCTCCTATGCCTTCTTTAAACCAAACAATAGTTCAGCTGAACTTCTAGAGACTACCTGCCTTGAGCACTGTATTCTCTTAAGATCTGCTGACAACAACACCTGGGAAAATTAGCTGGGGCCCTTCGGGAACAGGGAGATTATGGGAATGGCCCAGGGAAAATATCAGAAAAGGAGCACGAGAGTGGTTCACAACTCAAAGTACGTAATCAACTGAATTGTACATAAAGACACCCTTCCATTGGGGTGTTATTGCCGTGTATATTATCAACAACAACAACAAGTTAAAAATACAGATCATCGGTGGGGGCTGGTTGTGAATCTAAAACATTCTCTTCCAAAAACTGTAAGAAAGCAGTTCTCTAGTTAACCACCTATCCGATTTTCCTTTTTCTGAACTTATAGGAAAGAGAGATTTTAGAGACATCGAAAGTAAGTTTGCCCTAAGGACCCCCGAGGACACAGTGGATGACAATTGCCACCTCATCCCCGGAGTGGCAGAGTCTGTGGCTAACTGCCACTTCAACCACAGCAGCAAAACCTTCGTGGTGATCCATGGCTGGACGGTAAGAGGCATTTTAGGAAGGAGATGGTTGGGGTAGACCAGCCATCCCAAGATATATGGTCCCAGATACAAGAAGTATGTTGATGAGTTTCTATCTTTTGTCTCTCTGCTTACTCTTTGAACTTACATAAGGCAGTTCTAGCTTGCAATGGAGGCTCGTGGAATCTAAATCACGGCTTCATGAGTACTTCCCCTGGGTACCCACCTACATGATAACACGGTACCTGGCTGGTGGCATTCTTTTGAAGAGGGGCTGTGCTCAACTACAGAGCAGAGCTTGGGTCACTGTAGGCACTGAAAGGAACCTGGTATGGTCCCGATTCATCCTGCACTTTGTCATTGTCTGAGGAAGACAGTCTGGAATTCTGAGGAGAGAACTAGAGTAGAAGAAACAGCCAGGAGGCCGGTCCCAGCTTGGCCACGTAACAGCTCTGTGATGTGGGTCAAGTGACTTCCCACCTCTGGGCCTCAGTTCATGTTCCTGCAAAATAGACATGTTTAACTAGACACCCCTATAATTCCTGCACTTGCTTCCCATATTTTCAGATTGTAAGCATCAGGAACTTACATTAGAGATGAAGGTTTTCTTGTCATGCAAGATGATTATAAAAAGTAAAAATTGGGCCAAAATTCACTTTTTAAAAATTTTAAGGAAAGACTTCTCTTTAAATATACCATATGATCATTTTACATAATGCAGTGCTTGCTTTCATTACTGTATTTCTAAGTGTTAAACCCTAGTCTGAAGGCTTTATTGTCTATTCAACATAATCTGGAACAAGTCACTTACATTCATCTCTTAAGAGAAGATTAGGTTAATTGAGGGGGGTTTTTAGCAGCAGTTCAACTACTTGAAATTTCACACACATTCTGGCTGGAAAGTTATATACAAGCTATCAATATGAAATAACATGTATTGAATATTATTCCAAAGCATGTGAATCTGATGATAGGCCCTAAAGTCAAATATCATGAAATAGCTACAGAAGAATACCCGTCTCCTCCTGATTCCTGAAGTGCCCTTGCTATTGGCAGTGAAGCTCAATTACTATGTTTACTTGTGGTGGCTAAGCAACGCCTGACGCTTGCTACACAGATGTTTGTTTTAATAAAATACATCTGTTTACTAGAATTGGCAACGTTTCGGTAAATGGCACATCTTAAAATACAAAATTCTTAAACATATTTCTCAGTGTATATTTTGAGAGGTTTAACCAGGATGAAAAAGGAATCTTTGGAAATTTTAAAGATAGCTTGTACATATACAAAACTTAGCTTTTAACATTTTTTAAAGGTATGGTTTTACTAAACACAGTTTTATTATAATAAATTAAATACTCCAGGCATCGGCATCTGATCTGAGAGAACTGTGTAATTTAGAAATTAAAAGGAAAAACAGATGTTTCCTTCTCAAACTGAATCCAATGTAAGTAGATAGTGCCATTTTCAGTCACGGGATCCTTGACACCGCTTGGATCCTTGATACCAAATTGGATCCTTGATACCACTTGCTCGGGGGTTTTGACAGCCTGACCTCAGAGGCCAAGTCATTGGCTGTGGGTCATTTGACTGCTTCAGAGGCCAGGTCGCTGGCAGGGGACTGAGTTTGCATTGTCCGGGGCTGCTTAGTCTAGTCCGTACAATAACGAAGTCAGCCATGCAGACTTCCACCTTTTCACGGGGGCGGAATCAGCTGGACCATGGGGTGGGACGAACTGGGGTGGGTCGGTTCAGCCCCGTGCTTGCCAATCTCAAGATATTTTAAAATGGTTCTGTTTGAGGGAAGCACAAGAAAAAAAAAAGCCCACCTAGGGAATAAAAACGTTCAAGGTTGTTGTCTGGGGTTCTGGACACCAGTATTCCATGCTGAGTTATAAAAGAAGGATTCAACTTGCTGTTAGGCAACTGGCAAAAGCAGCAGTCAGTCAAGAAGGAAATTCGGTGACTTGCCCTGTTAAAGATTGCCTCGTTAGGAAACACTGATAAGACAGAAGCAATCAATCAGTGGGGCCCAGAGCAAGAAAGCTTTCCTGACATCATTGAGGTAAGCTGGCCCTCTGAATCAAGAGGAAAAGCTAGGCAGAATGAGGAGAGAATCCCTTTGCTTTGCTTGTAATGTGCATATGCATTTGCCAGCGAGCAGTGTAGACCCAGCTGGTAAAAGCTGTGCCTCTTGCTTGGGTGTCACAACCAGGTGCTTTGAGTGCAGGGTGCTCCTGGTCGGAGGCTCTCCCCATGGCTGAGAGGCAGAGCAATGAACACTGCATTCTGGAGGAATGACACCACGCTGTCTTGACAGACAGCTGCAAGGGGCAGGCTGTGCACCAACCATAAAGAGTGGAGAAGGGGCCAGGGCCAATTCCTCTGGGGTTTGCTTAAGGGTGGGCTTGCTACCTGGTTCCCTCAAAAACTTACCCCTTGCCCCCAGATAGGAAGCAGCCTGCTAAAGTATGCCCAAAGGAGACTTACGTAAGCTCCTAATTGGGCTCACATCACCTTGGTACCTTTTGGACCAGATTTTAACATTGGTAAAGCAGGACACCATTGATAAAACTCATAGCCTGGCGAAATAGCCACATGGCAGCCGAAAACCGTATCCCCTAGCTTGTCGTGCATTCTTTCCAAAAATCAGGACTTTTAAAAATGCTGTGGGACGTGGGAAAAATTGTTAAAAATCGGGACCATCCCACCAAAAGCGGGACGTCTGGTCACCTTAATCTTTCCCCCTTTGTTTGCTCTGTATGTTCGGAGCTGCATTGCATCACCGCCAACAGATTTACAAGCTGAAAATTTAGACAGAAACAGCTATGCCACTGGAATCTGGCCACTGTGCTTTATAGGTGGCCTGATAAGGTGGAAGCCGTGGCTAGGCTCCTAGATAAAATTGGTGAGAAAGTTGGGACTGGAACTAAGCGCTTCTGGGTCTCAGGCTTGTTCCTGCTCTCTGGCCAAAGAATGATGAAGTGTGAGTTAAAGCTAACCACTTTCCTATCAGCTGAGAAGGCAGTTGCTAAACAAACTTACTTTCTGCTAGGATTTATGAATATGTTCAAAAGCAAATTGATGAACATGTTCAAAATGAATGAGTTTTCTTCCCTGAGCACATGAAATGTTGTCTGTAAAAGGCTCTATTAAAAGGGGAAGAAAGGAAAAATAGCCACAGAGCCCAAAACAGTTCTCTTGAGAAGCATCCATTAGCCTAATTGAAAGTAATTAAACTAAAATTCTTTTAAAATATAGGCTCTAATTCTCCTGCAAATGTCTAACTTATCATGCTGAAATTCCCTTTAATAGTACAAATTAATGATGTTTTACTGGATTTATCAAACATCCTCCTAAAACGGACAGTTTGCTAACCCCCATCTGCCATTCCTGAGCTCCTCACAGCCCTTTGTCGTCTCAGAGGTGCCTCCAGTGGGCAAGGACCAGTTGCAGGACATCGTCCCGGGTTTCCTTTTTCATCTGAGCTTCCATCATGCTTCCTTGTGACTCTTTCCCCCACTGAACACACCTGTATTGGGCCATCGTATCTGGAACACGTTCTAGACGGGCATATCAAAGAATGTTGTATGGTCTTTCCTCAGGTGACAGGAATGTATGAGAGTTGGGTGCCCAAGCTTGTGGCAGCCCTGTACAAGAGAGAACCAGACTCCAACGTTATCGTGGTGGACTGGCTGATGCGGGCGCAGCAGCATTATCCCGTGTCTGCAGGCTACACCAAGCTGGTGGGAAATGACGTCGCCAGGTTTATCAACTGGATGGAGGTAATTCTAGAAGAACGTGTCTGTGCTAGTCTAGTTTGAGTAGAAAAACAAATTCATAGACACTCATATGTGTATAAGGAAAAGCTTCCTATCAAAGAGCAATTGTACATTAAGGAATATCCCAGTCCAGATCAAGTCCATAAGTCCAATATTAGCCCATATGTCCAATACTAGTACATAAATTTCTCTTTAGACTCATGCAGCCATGCAATAATGCTGAATGCAGGAAGATCCTAAGCCAGTGGGTGGAAAGTTTTGTATAGATCCAGTGGTGGTGGAAGTATCTCAGCACTGCCCTGGGTCTCCACATGGCTCCTCCAGCTCCAGGGCTCTGGCTCCATCAGTGTGTCTCCATGTGGCTTGTCAACAGGAATACGAAGCAGAGAAAGTCTCTGTGTGTCCTGCCTCCAGGGAAGAAGAGGAGTTCCCAGAATCCTCAGGAAAAGTCCCTGCCCAGACAGAGGCCTCATTGGTGATGGCCTGATTGACAGGCTAGACTCCACCCCCTTCGCAAGTTGACAGGAGATTATGTAACTGCCACAGTGTCTAAAACACATCCCTTGGCTAGAGCTAGGCGGGAGGCTGGTCTATTTCCCTTTTCGTTTAACCAAAGCAATCTTCCAGGCCAAGTCAAATCTTCAGATAGTCAGTATGGATGTTATTTTTTGGCCAAGAGCATTACTAAGATGATCATGCCAAGGCATAGTCTTGCCCCGCCCTGTCTTGTGATATGTTCGTAGTGAATAAATCTGCTGAGTCCAAAAACCAAGTGGGCAGAACAGACAAAAGCTTGTCACTTCGGCACTTCGGGAAGATGTCATGTTTAGTCAAATCCTTCATTCCCCTTTGTCTGCCGCAAGGACGTTTCATCCAGTCTTTAAGCTCTGTTAGAATACTAATCTCTTTGATCATAAGCATTGTTGTTATTGATGTTGTATGCCATGGTGCCCATTAAGCTCACAGTGACCCTCCAGGACAGAGCAGAACTCCTCAAGATAACTTACTAGGCGGAAACCCTTACTAGAACAGGATCTAAAATCTTTGGATCTTTTCTCCCGTGGTCCAGCTGGCAGGCTGGACCTGCTGACCTTCTCTTATCGGCTAAGTGCGTAACCATCGGTACCCTCAGGCCTCCTGTGACACAGGCGCTAACAGTGTTTACTCCTGAGTGTGGATTAAGGATCCAGATTTCTAGTTGAGGTTTGAGAGATGGACAGAACTGGGTAGGGAGAAAATAGACAGTGTACAGGAGAGGGGTGGATGGAGGGCCTGGTGATCCTGTTTGGCATTCTGAGATCATCCTGGAGAAAATTACCTCTGAAAACAAACGCAGGGTTGAAAGGAAGTGTATGCTCTGACCGGAAGCGTATGCTCTAAATTGCATAAGCAAGATGGAGATAGAAAATAACCTGGGCTGATGGGATTTCTCATCAGAAGATATAGTTCTTTTCCTGGGTCTTTCTGTAACCAGGCTAGTGCGTTTAGGTAAACCAAGTAGATCACCTCCTTGCACAACTATAAAATCAGATGACTGGACCACAGGTGTGGGACCTCTTCTCACTGTAACATTTTCTGATTATTAACCATTAGGTATAATTTAAAAAAAGTTATAGGCACATGATATAATTTCAGCTATATAGATACATTTCTAATTTAAATCCGTTGTGAAAAAAAGGAAAACTTTTAAACACCAGAGCATATGATTTTCTCTCTTATGGGTAGCACAAAATGAAAATACACATCATTAATTTGGGGTATTCTTTATACTTTAAGAACTATATTTGTAATCATTCTATTTTCTTTAGTTTTGATATTTTGCAAAGAGCTGTTAGGATCATTTTCCTCCCTCTGTTCCAAAGGAGGAATTTAACTATCCTCTGGACAATGTTCACCTCTTGGGATATAGCCTTGGAGCCCACGCTGCTGGTATTGCCGGAAGTCTGACCAAGAAGAAAGTCAACAGGATTACTGGTAAGAAAGCACTGTCCTTCACTTTCTCACCGAACCACAGAGATGGCAGTCTTTCCAGAGAGATGCTGTATGTTTGTGAAATGCCCACGTGTATATGGTGATACACTTGATCTCTTGATTATCTCATGATAGAGCTGCTTTCCTGGAATAAGATAAAATGCAGGCTCTTGCTCTTATGGGTTTACTATATCTTAGCAGGAAAGAAACGGATTTCTCTGAGAAGAACCCTGGTTTCCTCCTTCCCCTTCACTGTGCTTTGGCAATGAATCACCTGTCTATTGCTCTACACATGGATCCTGGGCGCAGTGAAAACGACCAGCACCAACACCTATGCCGATTGGTGTAGATAGATACTTTGGCATGTGTAGAGAGAGACAGAGAAGCCACTACTGTTTCAATTTCTTCACACCAGATTCAGAAATCGTTTCAAAGGGAAATCAAGCCATCCCAGATGAATATTGTTATACAATGGCTAGTTTAATTGGCACAAAATCCATTTTAGGAGAATGCCAGTCTGTATTTATGACAATCTTAGTAATTTAAAGATCCAATTAGTGTAGAATAGGAACGAATAGAATCTAAGTGTCTGCCCATTTCATTCCAATGGAGAGCCATAGAGTGCTAAAGTCAAGATACCAATGGGAACTGAACAGGTTTAAAAGTTGTGGCTTTGTCTGTCTGCCTTTTCCCATAAGGCCTGGATCCAGCTGGACCTAACTTTGAATATGCTGAAGCGCCTAGTCGCCTTTCTCCAGATGACGCGGATTTTGTAGACGTGTTACACACATTCACCCGTGGGTCACCTGGCCGAAGTATTGGAATCCAGAAACCAGTGGGGCATGTGGATATTTACCCGAATGGAGGCACTTTTCAGCCAGGCTGTAACATTGGAGAAGCTATTCGCGTGATTGCAGAGAAAGGCCTTGGAGGTAAATATGGCCTGAAGTGAATTAAATGTGAAATGTATCCTTGACATTTATTGGCATACCACCCCCCTTACCCTACTGCTTACCTACAGAGGAGGTTCTGCTCATGTAAAATTTGACCAAGATCTGTTTCAGAAGGATTCCACCATTCAGCATGGCCAGAGTCTTAATAGTTTCTGTGTCCAGACAGCCAACCATCTTCTCTTTTTTTTTTAAGTACTTGCCAACTCCTAGCTGAAAGGTTGGCAGTTTGAATCCACCAGAGCAGCTCCACTCTGCACATGGGGTCTCTGAGTTGGAATCAACTCAATGGCAGCTGACAGTAACCTGCCACAAGTGGTACAAATGGGGAACATGCCCAGTTGCTAACCAAAAGGCTGCAAGTTTAAGTCAGCCAGGGGTGCTTCGGAAGAGGGGCCTGGCCATCTACTTGTGAAAAATCAGCTGTCAAAGCCTAGGGAACACAGTTCCACTCTGGCACACATGACGTGTGTCGCCCTGAGCTGGATTCAACTCAGCAACTGCTAAATGGTGTATTACACTGAGTACTCTTCTTGCGGAAGCAAGATAAATGTAAAGACAGGAAAATGGCACTGCCCGAAATAATGGCAGTCACATTTTTTATCTTGCCCACGGGGTGTTTTGTTTTGAATGTAGTTGCAAAGCCAGTGGCGTGATTTTGATTGAGAGAACCCAAACCAAGCCCAGTGCTGTTGAAGCTCTTCTGACCACATGGGGCAGGGTAGAACTCCATAGGGCTGCCAGGAGTGCAGAATCTTGACAGGAACAGACAGCGTGTCTTTCTCCTTGGAGTGACTGATGTGCTTGAACTACCAACCCTGCAGTGAGTTGACCAATATTTAATCCACAGAGTCACCAGGGCTCCAATGTTGAATAAAAACCAAACTCACTGCCATGGAACCAAACCAGACTCATGGTGACCCTCTTGGCCAGAGTAGAAATGCCCCCTATGGGTTTCCAAGATTATAAACCTTTATGGGAGCAGAAAGCCTCATCTTTGTCCTACGAGGAGACTGGTGGTTTCAAACTGCTGACCTGGCAATTAGCAGCCTAACTGGTAAGCAATATACCACGAGGGCTCCTTACTGAGAGTGAAGTAAATGTCAATCAGTCTTCCTTTTTTTTTAAATTACTCTTCTTAAGAGTCATACAAACCGGAAAGAAAAAAAAATCCGTTTCCAACAATTAGTTTCCCAAAATTTTAAAAAGAAATTCATTTTAATAAACATGTTAGCTTGTGTTTAATTTATTTTGATTTCAAGGGCTTTTTGCAGATTGTGTATGTAGGACGTACCTACTTTTGTGCTGTGTGTGTGTCATAGGTCTTATAGCATAATGTTACTATTTTTAAGTGTTATAAAATCTCATGCTAATAGGCTGATTCTTGTGCCACTATTGATTACTTCTATGATTTATGTAGTAGAGTCACATGCTCAATTACACATAGTATGGACAGTAGCACACTATTCATTTAAGAAGCACACACCCTTTATGGTGTGGTTTCTACAAGTGCATTTCCTGAAGCATTGCGTGCTTTTACAACAGAAGGATGAGAGAAACTGGAAGAAACCAGTTTCTACCCTGGATGTTCTATGCTACTCTATCTTAAACGTATTTGTAAATAAAAGACACCAAATATATTTCTAAGTACAAGAAAACTCAGATGTTTCCTCTGAGTTTGTAGTTTTGACATTCTTGAAAGTAAGTAAGCAACCTGACACCTGCTTACATAGGGCCCATATTCATGGCTTCCCAGAGTAACCCTGAGGTCAATTTATTCTGAAACGAAACCTAAATTCTTTAGGACGTGCGCAATCAGACACTCGTTATGGACCTTAGCAGTATCTTACTTTGTGTCTGTTTTTCCCCAGATGTGGACCAGCTAGTGAAGTGCTCCCATGAACGTTCCATCCATCTCTTCATTGACTCCCTGTTGAATGAAGAAAACCCAAGTAAGGCCTACCGGTGCAACTCAAAGGAAGCCTTTGAAAAGGGGCTCTGTCTGAGCTGCAGGAAACACCGCTGTAACAATCTGGGCTACGAGATCAACAAAGTCCGGGCCAAGAGAAGCAGCAAAATGTACCTGAAGACTCGCTCTCAGATGCCCTACAAAGGTAGGTTAGAGGTTCCTGCCAATAAGGAAGACCGATGTAATCCTCCTTTTCATCATGTCTGTCGTGTCACATGTGCGGATGCTGTCTGTCCAGGCAGCTGAGATAAAGAAATGATGTGACGAACCCCATGTTTCTGGCGATGGAGAGCGCCAGAGGTCGACTTGCTGTCCTAGCTCCTCCCGCCCAGGGCACCGCCGCCCCGTACACAGGCTGTACCGCGGTACTTTACTTTCCTGCTTGCCACTCTCCTCTGTCCTTGTGACCATCAGCCGAGGCTCAGTCATTAGCTCACTGCTCATTGGGAGCACATCCTCTCTGTCAGAGATGAGCAAACTATAGCCCACAGGCCAAATCCAGTGCATGGCCTGTTTTTGTTTATTTATTTTAATTAATGTTTTATGAGAACACAGTCAAACCTTTGTTTGATTAGAACACAGTCACATCTTTGTCTGTGTCTGGCTGTTTCTCCACCAGCTTGGCAGAACTGAGTCATTACAACAGAGACCCTATGGCCGACAAAATCTCGAATATATCTGGCCCTTTTAAAAAGTTTGCCACCCACTATGACTTAAATTCGACTCCACAGCAAGGAACAACAATCACACAGTAAGCTTTAGGTGTGGGCAAGAACCACCTGCACTTTAACACACAACGATCCCAGGGAGAGAGCGCTACGATATTTTCATTTTGTCATCATTTGTTTCTGTTTTATTTCAAACTTGGCATCATGCTTAGAACAAGACCTAGCCATCGGAGCGACAACAAGCAGAGGTAATCAGATGACTCTGGTGAGAGGGATGGAATGCAAAGAAGCCAGGTTGTGTGGAGTGCAGGTAGAAGCCCGAGAGAAGGGACACCATTGGAGAAGAGTTTCCCCGGGGAGGATGTAGCTGATCTAGGCTCCGCTTTAGAAAGTGGCTTGTCCATCTGCAGAGGTGCTTATGGTGGCATGAGAGCTTTTGAGTCCCCTGCAACCCAGAAAACCCTTGTTCAATGAGGGGCCCTCCGTTCCCTGGCTCTCAGGCCCAGGCAGTGTGGGTGCCAAGGCAACCCGGATCTTAGTCATTATCTCAGTGCTCTGTCGGTGTTCACCGGGGCATAGGGACACTGAGCTAACTTCTGGCCTTTCTGCTATGACTTGTGATGATGCCTACAAAGACTGCATTTCACTTGAAGCCCCCATTTCCGTTGTCCTTTAGTTAAACAGCGTCTTAAAGCATGCTGCCTTTTCCGTCTCCTTCACCATCAACCACTCATTACTCAGCGTTTCTGGTGGAACTGAGGGGATGCAGAATTGCACATCCTTGCTTCCCAAACCCCACTGCAATCCAGCTGATGCTGACTTATAGCACATGGTAGAACTGCCCCTTAGCATCTCTGAGACTGTCAATCTCATGAGAGAAGGCAGCCTCATCCTTTTCTAGAGGAGCGGCCAATGGGCTGGAACCACTGACCTTTTGGATTGGCAGCCCACCACTGAACCCACAGTGCTTCCAGCCAGCACTGCCTCAGACTGTAGACTTTGAGACCGGTTTTCTTCCACTCTCCACGGTGATTTACTAAACAGAGTTTTACTGCGCCCTGCCGACTGCTGTCTCTATGTAGATGAGGAGGGGAAAGAGAGAGTATGTGAGCCGTGAGGCTTGGGCCTGAAGGAGGTTACAAGCCACTCAGGGAGATCAGATAGAGCCATGAAACAAGAAATGTGGTTGCATACAACAACACACAGCAACAAATGTTCACTACGCTTGGTTCAGATGCTAAGGGACAACCAGATGGCCAAGGAAGGGTGGAGCTCATGGGTGTTTGGGCTTCTTGATCTGTTCTGCTTGAACCCCTTGAAAGATAACGACTTTCCCGGACACCTTGGCGATTCTGTCACACCTGTGTGTGTGTGTGCTGTTTTCTTTCCATCCACTACAGCCACCCTTTTTGAAAGGTAGAATTCCGATCAAACTACCTGAAAGCGACACTGTGCAGAAGTGAAGAGGCACAGTAGTACTAGACTCGTGTGTGTGTGTGTGTGTGTGTGTGTGTGTGTGTGTGTGTGCATGCGCGCACGCGCATAAGTCCTGTTTGGTTGTTAGTTTGGCTCTGAATGTTCTAATTGGGTAGTCTGCAGCGTTCCCATAAAACCTGATCCACCTTTCTCCCAATTTCTCCCCTCCAGTCTTCCATTACCAAGTGAAGATCCATTTTTCTGGCACTGAAAAGAGTATGCATACCAACCAGCCATTCGAGATCTCGCTGTACGGCACGGTGGCGGAGAGTGAGAACATCGCTTTCACCCTGTGAGTCGGCGGCGTCCCCTCCAGCGTGTGTGCTCTCGGGGTCCCGCCTCCTGCCCGTCACCGGGCTGAGGGGCAGCAGGGCAGTGGGGCACCTAGAAAAGCAGCCTCTGGCTCAAGAAATTGGACTGAAAGCCCTTGCCCTATTTCACGTGAAGGAAAAACACGCAATAGTTTAGTTTATCTTCATTTGAGATGCAGGTCTCTTTCCCTGTTATTTTCAAGCTGCCTATTTCTTTTGTGTTGTGTTTCAGCAAATGCATTCAATTCTCTCAAAAGTCTGAATTTTAACATAAACCAACAAGAAGAAAAAGAAGTGTAAAAGGCCCCTGATAAAATGATTTTCAAAAAGAGAAAGAAATCCCTTTATAAGCATAAACGCGGTGTGTGTACCTGACCTCAGTTGCCGTTGGGTTGATTCTGAGACTTGGCGGCCGCACAGAACAGAGGAGACCTGCCCTGGAAGCCTTCGCAGGCTGCACAGCTTTCTCCTGGGGGCAGCTGATGCGTTTGAATGGCCAACTTTTCAGTTAGCAGCGGAGTGTGTAATCACTGTGCCAACAGGGCACCTTGCAATGTGCATTAACCCCAAGCCAACTGCCATCGAGTTGATGCCAATGTACCGCAGACCCACATAAGAGTTTCTGAGGCTGTAGATCTTCATCAGAGCAGATACCCTCCTCGGTCTCCCATGGAGCGGCTGCTGGGTTTGAACAGACAACCTTTGGTTAGCATTCCAACACTTATTCCTTCCCAGTAATACACATGATGGCACACATCTGGAACAAAGTTAGTGTCCAATATCAAGGTAAGGGTTAATTGTGGCTTACTGAATCAACACATTCCGTTTGGGGCCTTTAAAGACTATAATTATTAAAGATTAGTTAAAACATGGCAAAATGTGCAATATAAATTATTATCGAGTAAAGAAAGACTAGAGATTGTATGTATTCTATAAAATCAAGTAAGCATGTGTTCACCTATTGATAGAGATAGAAAATGAATCTGTGAAAATGAAAATAATCTCTCTGAATGTTATTCATTCTGAATGTCTTGTAGATCGACACCCGCCCCCCTGCCTTTTTAAAAATTGTACTTAATAGTTCATCTGGTTAGAAGACAAGCTGGAATCAATTAATGGGATATGAATGTCTTTTAAAGTACCCTAAACCCCACGACATCCATCTTGAGTCTTTTGTTGGACATAGTTTGCATTTCTTAAATATCTTCCAAACAATAAAGCCATTTACACAGCTTGGGAGAGAGAGAAAAATAACTTTTTTTTTGGAACTAACCAAGCATGCTGTCTGTTTTTTTCAGGCCTGAAGTTTCCACCAACAAGACATACTCCTTCCTAATTTACACCGAAGTGGATATAGGAGAACTGCTCATGCTGAAGCTCAAATGGAACAGCGATTCTTACTTCAGCTGGTCAGAGTGGTGGAGCAGCCCTGGCTTTGCGATTGGGAAGATCAGAGTAAAAGCAGGAGAGACGCAAAAGAAGTAATCAGACTCATCTTTTGCCTCGATTCACTTCAGATTCACTCACACTCATGGCATTACTCAAAGCATCTCAGGAACCTTCAGCATTCTTGGGGACGTTAGCATTGTCTGGCCTGGATAATTAATTACACCCAGATTCTCTAAAGATGATGCCTTTATTATGAAACTGAGAAATAACAGTATTTCTGCATATCAAATTAGGCAAGCCTAAGCTCTGCCTGGGCCATAGTCAGTCAGAGGGAGAACAGGGTATTAAAAGTCGGCACTCACTCAGCTCTGTTTGCTGCAAGGACAAAACCGTTAGGAAGCAAACCCAGAGGTGTTACTTTGACCTTCAAATATCAAAACCATCCTCGTCAAGCTAATTCCAAGCTAATCTCTTCCTGTCCCTCCTCACCCCGTCTGACCAAGTGAACTGCCATGCAGTTGATTCAGACTCACAGCCAGTGTCCTAGGCTGTAAGTCTTTGTGGACCACAGACAGCTCCATCCATCTGCCTGGGAGCAACTCGGGGTTGGAACTGCCCTTCCACTTCACTGCCCTGGCCTAGAACATGAATGGCATAGAGGGCCTTGTGGGATTTTAAACTTTTCTACTAGGTGTAGGTGGGTTTTATAAACTAGAGCTTGGTTTAATTGATATTAAAAAGCAACTCTTTAAGTGGGTGTCGATATATTATGCCTATTTAGTCACTTTCTTGTATACCCCAAAAAGACATGTTGTCGGATGGAAAGGCTAGGCAGAACATTTAGTGAACCCTTAACTCAGTGGTTCTCAACCTTCCTAAAGCTGCAACTCTTTAATATAGTTCCTCATGTTGTGGTGACCCCCCAACGATAAAATTACTTTTATTGCTACTTTATAACTGTCATTTTGCTACTGTTATGAATCGGGCGGACCCCTGTGGAAGGGTTGTTCGACCCCCAAAGGGGTCGTGACCCACAGGTTGAGAACTGCATTAACTCCTTAATGCAGATGCTGAGAGCTAGCATACGAGATCTGGTGACCTTACTTATGATGTTCAGGCTGCTCCGGGCTGCCTGTAGCTTCCTGCTTAGATTGGTTAATTCTTGTGTGCTGCTGTAAGATATATAGTATGATACAACTGTAGATGTACAGTTACTATACTCATATAGGTACTATGCATCATGGGAGCCCTGATGGCATAGTTGTTATGTGTCGGGCTACTAACCATAGATCAGCAATGTGAAAGCGCCCACCCCCCACTCCATGGGTGAAAGATGGGGCTTTCTATTCCCTAAACAGTTACAGTCTTAGAAATCCACAGGGGCGGTTCGACCCCACCCAATAGGGTCATGATGAGTCAGCATCAGCTCAATGGCAGTGAGAATTGGTGAAGACCATACATCTTAAGACAAGAGATATGAGTTAACCAATTGCTAAATGGACCAGACCCTCAAATAACTCTATGGAAGTGTCACTGCCCCAAATAGCCTGAGAACTAACCATTAATTATTGGAAATATCAAAAACTAACTAGCACAATCATGTAGGATCTAAACAACTTGAGTCAACCACCACAGTGTTTTGGTCTTTTTGTTGTTGTTAGTGGAATGAATGACCACACACATTTATTTTTCTTGCATATCTACAATTTGACAAAACTCAGTGTCCATGGTTTCTATCAGTCCATGTCACATCACTTCAGGTGGCCTAAAACAGGATTGTGGGTCCACTTCCTGATGGCTAGCTTGCCTGACTCGCGATTTGGACCTGATTGTTCGCTGGAACCCTGGCTGTGGCCATGGCCAGGACAGCGGCAGAGTCACCCACACGTGGCTTCTTCTGGTGTCCTGGGATTCCTCATGGCACAGTGGCTAGGTTCTAAGAGGGAGTGTCTCAAGAAGACTAGGCAGAAATAGGATCCCCTTTCAAACCACCCTCCATCATCCCATTGCCACTGAGTCAATTCCAACTCCTAGTGAGCGATAAAGAGATTCCAAGATTGCAAATCCGTATCGAGCAGGCAGCCTCTTCTTGTCAAAAAGTCACTGTTGTGCTTCCATGTGGAAGGCATGCTCACATCCATTTCCTTTGGCAGGGTGCTCTTCTGTTCCCGGAACAAAGTGGCTTATTTGACGAAAGGAAAGGAACCGGTGGTGTTTGTGAAGTGCCATGACAAGTCTGTGAATAAGAAGTCTGGCTGGTAAGCACCGTGGGCTGACCCGTCCGGAACCGTGAGTCAACCCTCGGAGGGGATCCAGCCTCACCCCTGCACTGTGCCTTGGGATCACATCCTGCCCGTGGTCTTTCCACACAGGCCTCGTCCCAAGCTCCATTTCCTTTTCGCAGGGCTTCCTCTTCATTTCTTGTTTTCAGGTTCTTCTCTCAACCCACTCACTTCCATCCCAGGCCCCCTTTAGCATTTTCTTTTTTGAATTACCACTAGGTCTTCATTTCTCTTTGACTCTGTACCACATCCCTGCTATGACACAAGTATGGTAGTTGCCACTGTGTCCTGCCAAGGATAGATCCTAGGATGCAAACATCTAATGTCTCCAGCTGCAGCAGCATTGGTTCTGAGGCTCTGAGAGCTAGTAGGTCCCAGGGCAGAAAGCCAAAGGGGCATCCACCAAACACCCATCTCAAAAACTGCCAAAGATGGCAGCTAGGGGAGTTAGGATCTAGGAAGCTGGTCTCTTCCCCATCTCTAACCAGCTCCTGGCTCGTTCCTACCTGACCTTTAAGGCTAATCCACACTGCAGCTGTCAGCTGAATCTTTCCAGAGCGTCAGTACTAAGTGGAACTAAGCATGTGACCGTCCCCACTCCCCTGCAGAATTTCCTGGATATGCCAGTGGCATTCCTCTACCCGTCCACTCTGCCAAATGTCAAGTGCTAATGGGTTTCAGGTACGAAGGGGAGAAAGCGTGGGGCATGTAAAACAAGCCAGTGACATGAGAAACAATGGGACTGGTCACAACATCATCTGGAAATAGAAAAAGCAATTGCTTTAGGCCTGTGCTCCCCTCCTAGTAATATTTATAAACATGGATACCCGGGGAAAGTGTTTGAAAGACCCTGTGTGGATGTGGAATACCTTAGTTATTTTTCATTTCTATTTATAAGTTTGCTATGTGTTCATGATAGATAGATTAGGAAAGGTAACTAGATGAAGAGAAAATAAAGGTACCATGATGCTGTTTACCCAGAGACATCCACAACTAGCAGTGACAGCCTACCGGATTTTATCTATGCTTCCATAATAGTCACATCTTTTCCATGTTTCCTACAAATGGAATGAAGGCATATATCTACTTTGAAGGACAAGAGTAGACCTTCTAGACCCCAAAACAACACATGAGCCATCAGGATAAACTTTAAAAGGGCCATCGTTGCTGGGGTTAGTCTAGTAACTCGCCTCCTTTTCAAGTGGAGACTGTCTTACTAAGAGCGTCATTGGATTGTGTTTTCTTCACTTCTCAGAAAAGGACCTCTCTACGGAAGTTTCAAGTCATGCCTTCCTGTCGCACACAGCCACGTCCAGACACACAGGCAGATAGTCTCCCACAGTACCCCATAGCTTTAAATCTGCAAACAGTCATGAAGACAAAACCCTAAATCTCAATTAGGAAAAATTCCAGCTATTCAGTATTTCTGGGCACATTATTCGTGTGCTTTTAGAATTCATCTGACAAAGTCTATCAACACATTCTTGGTCTGATGATAAGGTTTCTGAGTCAACAAATATGTAGGGAGGCCTGTTTTCAATTTCGCATATCAGAATTTAGTGTAGGAGGCCATTGTGAATCAGATTTATAATACAAAGCTTCTCTTCCATATGACAAAAGTAAATTGATCAAATAAGTTTCTCCTCATCTTATTTCCTTAATTGTACCTTTTTGCCCTGAGAAAAGATTCGGGGCTTTTATTATTGCCAAGATCAGAAATAAGAGCCAGGTGGATGCATCCTGTGAAAATGATATTCCATCCTGGGACTTGGCAGTATTGACGTTAGGCCGCCTTTCATTTCTCGGGGCCTGTCACTTTCTCTGGTCCACTACCCATCCTCCCTGCATTTGTCCTCCCAGCCTTTGTTCTGACCTTCTAAGGGAACACCTGTTTATCCTAAGCATTTTGGGGGAGCTGGCGAGGTGGTATGACATTAAGCAGGAAACCAATCACCCTTCTTCCTCTGCTTTTTTTCAGAAACCCAGCACAACTCCTGAGCAAAGAACGGCATGTGGATTCTGCAAGGAAAGAAGTGGATGAAATAACTTTTACAAAACACCCAAGGTTCTGGGTGTTTTAAAAAAGTGGATTTTCCCGAGTATTAACCCCAGCTATATCTTTATTAGTTCTTTTAGGACACAGTCTCAAATACTTTGAACAACAAAAAAGTGGCTAATTTCATGTGAGGACTATGGTGGCCAAACAGCACACCCTCCTCCATGTTCAACGACGGCCGATAGGAATATATAAATACACTTTCGACCTTTGAGAAGGAAATGAGGAGTTGTTCGGGCCAAGAGCAGACTAAGGCTCCTTCAGGCAGTTCAGTTAGGCAGAGCCTAAAATGTAGTCGAATTTCCTATTTCAATTGGAGTTGTAGGCTTTCTGAACTGATGCCTTCCCAAAGCTTTCTCAAATGGTTCTCTGAGGCATGAGGCAGAAGTGAGCAGACTAGTGATGGACTTATCAGTAGGTTTTGTTTCGTTTTGTTTTGTTTGGGGGGGATGTTTCCCTTCCTGCCACTGGCATGTAGCCAAGTTAACCAGGATGGAGTGATTGGGAGAGTGGGGTTGATAAAGCACTGACCCTTTCGTGTTGTGATCAATTAGTCCTTAATCTCTCTGCACTCCCAATTTGTTCTTTTGTCTCAAGATTGTACTTTAACACTTTAACCTTGTTGTCTGAGAGGTGTTTCAAATATGCTTGTAACTCTCCAAGAATACATAACTTGGGCTGTGGAGCAAGAAAATGAGACCATGCCTCTATGATCAGATTTTTTAAATTAAATTTATCAACTTGAAGGCCTGAGAGATTCCATCTTATTCTTCCATGAGGTTTGCTCCAGTCTTAACTTCAACCCACCTCTTTCCTTTCTGGATTTTAGCTAGAAAATATGTGTTCGATTTCTAAATTTGAACATCTGGATTCTGACAAATTTCCCACAAGGACCATTTTTACGAAACAATAAGACGGACAAGTCACTGGGTGCTATTCCCAAGCAGTGTGCACCAGCCATTATGTGCAATGGAAAGAGTGCTTGATTGCCGCAGCCATGAAAGGGCCAAGAAGGCTGTTGTTGTTTTTAACAACTAATAAAGAGTGAGTGATCACTTATTTATAAACTGCATTTCATACTTTCAGAATGTTTTTCTTTCTATTAACACAGAATTATAAAGGAGTCAATTAGCTCAGAGGCTTTTGCGGAGAACCCAAACTGTGAAAGTGTGTGGGGGCCTGAGCCCATAGTCATAGAAGTGTCTCCCATGCTTGTCAGGCAGCACGATTTGGAGGGCAGACCAGCAAGGGCTGGATGGCAACACATTAGAGCTGAACAAGCTCCACAGGTGGTGGGCCCTCAGCGCTTTACCTGAGAAATACGGCTGCACCTATATGGGCAAGGGCAACTGTTTTGAGGGATACCAGCGGGCTTGGGACCCATTCTCTGACAATAAAATGATGTGCCATCTGTTGTTGGCACCCACCTTGACTGTTAAGTCGTTTATTTTATTTGGGTTTTGATGAAAGGTGCCTAACATTAAAACAAGATTCATCAGCTTCTCTGGGAACTGTGGCTTCTAAAGACTTGGCTATAAAGATATACATATATATTATATGCTTTGGCTAAAATGTTATTTATTAGCTGTGAGTGTGTGTATGTATAAAGGGAATCTGTACATATTGGGTAGGTGCTTGTGGCTCTCCACATTGACAGAAGCGGGAGTGAACATTGAACTTGTCTTCATCAGTAACAACCTCACGGAGTCCATTTCACTCGCATGAAATCATCCAATGAGATGGGCACCATTTGAAAGAAGAGAGAAAACGTCTTCCCTATGTGAAGAAATGGAGCCTACTGTTAATAAAATCAACATAGTTTAATCATAATGCGAAGTCAACTTTTTGCATTATTCAAGTCCCCACCAAAATAAATTTTTCCCTACGGCAGATTCAGCAAATATTTACTGAGTGGCGACCATAGTTAGTAAATAATATGGGTTCTGACAATCACAGAACCCATTCAGTTACAAAGCCTTTGGTCAAGTTTAAGGTCTTTATATAGCCTAGGAGAAATCTTACATTCTTTAGACAAACTACTAAGGAAAATGATGCAGAATTATCTGAAAAAAATGCCCAGGACATGCCTTACCTGCACCATGCTTTTTCACAATACTACATTCTCTCACTGTCATTGAATCGATTCCAAGTCATAGTGGCCCTATAAAACAGGGTAGAACTGCCACTGTGGGTTTCCAAGACTGTAAATCTTTATCGGAGTAAAAAGGCTTTTCTCTCTCCTGTGGAGCAGCTGGTGGTTCCGAACTGCTGACCTTTTGATTAGCAGCCCAAAGTGTAACCTGTATCTGTGACCATCTTCTGGAGTGTCTGAGATCTAATAGTGAGCTATCAAGAGAGTGACATCTGTTCAAGGACATAAACTGTGTGGGATGAAGAGGATGATTTTACAAACTCTGCTTTGAGTTGTCCTGATAATGACAAAGAAGAGCTTAGTGAAACAGAGATTGCTCTTAGTGCGTCCAGGAAGAATTTAGTCCAGGAAACAAGGGTCTCTGTGGCCACGGGTATGAACAGATTGCAAGTCTGGGGCGGGAACCCCATCTGGGAAGGGAGGACTTTTCATTTTGCATGTTGCCCTTCTCTGGAATACTTGGGTCTATTGGAATAATCAAAAAGACAATAGCAAATGTTGGTGAGGATGTGAAGAAACGCGAACCTGTAGACATAGCTAATAACAACAACAACAACAACATCAAATTCACTGCTGTCAGTTGGTTCTGACACATGCCTACCCTACAGGGCAGGGGAAAACTGTCCCTGTGGGTTTCTGAGACTAACTCTACAAGAATAGAAAGCCTCGGCTGTCTCCCACAGAGGGGCAGGTGGTTAGGAACTGCTGACCTTGTGGCTAGCAGCCCAGGGTGTAACCCTACAGCGTAGTGCCATCCCTGTTGTAATGTTTGTCAGCTTCTTGAAAAGCTAAGTACAGAGTTACCATATGACTCAACAATTCTCCTTCTAGATTCTTGTCTGCTGCTGCTGATTGTCCAACAGGGTTTCCGAAGCTGTAATCTTCACAGAAGCAGAGGTCTCCCCACAGTGTTCTCCCCGCTAGTGTCTGCTGGGCTCCAACTGACAACCTTTCAGCTGCCCATCATACTGAGCCACTGGACCACCAAGACTCCAAGGAAAATTAAAACATATGAAAAATAAAATACTTGCACACAAATACTTTAAGCAACATCATTCACAAAAGCCCAAAACTAGAAACAGCCCAAATGTCTATCAGCTAGTGAAGAGACAAACAACATATGGTAGTCATATAATTCAATATTCAAAACTAAAGATAAAACTACTGGTGCATGCTATCACATGGATGAACATAGAAGATCTTATGCTATGTGAAAGAAGCCAGACAGAAACGACCCCACTGTTGTATGTGAAATTTATGGTAAATGGCAAATTTGCAGACAGATAGTTGATTAGTAGTTGCCTAGGACTAGAAGGTGGATTAACTGCCATGAAGGATTTGTTTAATTAGATTATAATGGTGGTTGAACAATTATGTGCATTTACAAAAACTCATGGACTAATACATTTAGAATAGGTGACTTTTATGTTATGCAGATTGCAACTCGATAAAGCTCTTAAAAAGATACATTTGGGGATAAATATAGTCACATGATCTGTGAAAACTTGCTCTCTCTGCAGGAAGTTCTGCAGTGCTTGTCTACAGCCCCTAACCCAAAGCTCATAACCACTGCTGTTAAGTCAATTCTGACTCACAGCAGCCCTGTCCGACAGTAGAATTGCCCTGTTGGACTTACAAGACTGTAACTCTTTAAGGATGCTCATGACCACATTTTTCTCCCATGGAGTACCTGGTGGTTTCCAACCGCCAATATTTCTGTTAGTGGTTTAAACATTAACCACCGTGCTACTAGGGTTCTGTCCCTCTCACATAAACTTTATCTATCCCATGGGCCCAGAACATTATCATTTGTCACAAACGGATACTGTTTAACACGGTTGTATTTAAAATAGCCTGTTCTAGCCCTGATTCGGTTATATTGTGTGCCTGTTTGTGATGTATTTCTCTTACTGCAGAAAGGTTGTAATACAGATAACTGTGCTCTGAAATGAATCGGATACAGAATCTTCTGTTATAATTTAAATATCCTCAACTAACCACTTTTAGAAGTAGCAGATCTTATTAGACATCATCTAGTACTACAACCTCATTGTTCAGCTGAGATAATAGGGTCAGAGAGATTAAGTGACTTTCTTAATGTTACACAGCTGGTTAAACAGATAGGAAACATAATTGGACACCTACTGATTTATAGTTCCGTGTCTCCTCTATTTACAGTGTCCTGCCTCCCTAACACTTACAAACTACTTGTTTAATTCCGAGCTTGTGTCCTGGACAAACTTACCCCAGTAAATTACCATTAGGAGATATGCATTCTGGTCTTCTATTAAGATAAATGAATTTTTATTAATTCTGCCATACCCTTTTTGCTCCCCAGGGCACAATCTTTCAGCAAACATTTACCGAATCACCACTATATGTATAAAATAACATGCTGTTGTTAGGGGTGATCTAGTAGGTCTGACTCACAGGTCCCCCGTGTGCAGCAGAACTAAAACAACGGGACTGACAGTTCTGGGGGGACAAGGGAGAGAGGGAGGTGAGGGGAAGGGAAGAGATGTTAGGGGACAAGGGGACAACAAGCGATCCAAATTGGTGGGGAGGTGGGTGTGGGAGACCTGGTAGGGCATGATCAAGGGGAATGTAACAAAGAGAAAGTGCTGAAATCCTGGTGGGGACTGAGTATGATAGTGGGACAGGAGGACAATCAAGGGAAATAGAGGAAAGAGCTGGGAGGGAAAGGGCATTTATAGAAGCCTAGATAAAGACATGTACATATGCAAATATATTTATATGAGGACGGGGAAATAGATCTATGAGCCTATATTTATAGGTTTAGTATTAAGGTAGCAGAAGGACATTGGGCCTCCACTCAAGTACTCCCTCAATGCAAGAATATTTTCTTCTATTAAATTGGCATTCTATGATGCTCACCTTCCCGACACAACCGCTGAAGACAAAGCGGGTGAATAAGCAAATGTGGTGAAGAAAGCTGATGGTGCCTGGCTATCAAAAGATATAGCATCTGGGGTCTTAAAAGCTTGAAGGTAATCAAGCGGCCATCAAGCTCAGAAGCAACAAAGCCCACATGGAAGAAGCACACCAGCCTATACAACCACGAGGTGTCGAAGGGATCAGGTATAAGGCATCATCAGAACAAATAATCTGAACATAGTGAATGATGGGGGGATTGTGGAGTGGAGACCCAAAGCCCATTAGTAGGCCACTGGAGATCTCCTTGCAGAGGGGTCTCGGGGAGGAGATGAGCCAGTCAGGGTGTGATGTAACAACAATGAAAAATACAACTTTCCTCTAGTTCCTAAATGTTTCCTCCCCTCTCCCACTACCATGACTCAAATTTGACCTTGCAAGTCTGGCTAGACCAGAGGATGTACACTGGTACAGATAGGAACTGAAAATGCAGGGAATCCAGGGCGGATGAGCCCTACAGGACCAGTGGTATGAGTGGCGAAACAGGGAGGGTAGAGGGAGAGTGGGTAGGAAAGAGGGAACCGATTACAAGGAACTATATGTGACCTCCTCCCTGAAGGACGGACAACAGAAAAGTGTGTGAAGGGAGACGTTGGACAGGGCAAGATATGACTGAATACCAATTTATAAACTATCAAGGGTTCATGAGGGAGGGGGAAGTGGGGAGGGAGGGGAAAAATGAGGACCTAATGCTGGGGGTTTAAGTGGAGAGGAAATGTTTGGAGAATGATGAGGGCAATAAATGTACAAATGCACTTTACACAATTGATGTGTGTATGGATTGTGATAAGAGTTGTATGAGCCCCTAATAAAATGATTTAAAAAAACAAACAAACAAACAAACAAACAAACAAACAAAAAACGTTATTCAGCCTTGCACCGTGCCTACGATTGTTGCCATGTGTGAGCCCATTGTCAATCCATCTCATTGCGAGTCTTCTTCGGGGCTGACCTTCCACTTTATGAAGCAGGATGCCTTTCTCCAGGTACGGAGCCCTCAGGACAGTGTGTCCAAAGGATTTGAGGTGAAAAATCAGCATCCTCCTTTCTAAGAAGCATCTCACTGTAACTGCTTTCAAAACAAATTTGTTTATACTTCTGGCAGCCCATGGTATACTCATCATTCTTCACTAACATTATAACTCAAATATCTCCATTCTTCTTTCCTCTGCAGTAAATAACATAGCTTCTAGAAGTCACAGGGTCTTATATTACAGAAACCATTATACTAGCCATTACAGCACAAAGAGTTATCACCAGAAACTATACACAATATGTGAGTGACAGTAAGGTTTCCCAGAAGCTTCATTCTGTACCTTGGATACTATCTAATCT